CAGGGCAGGATGCAGTCAGCTGTGACACGTGCACATCTGTCAGTCTACTTCCTCCTGACAGTAGCTGTGTGTTCGGGGGGGGATGGGGGGATGGGGGGGGAGATCCCGCCGACAGCCAGCTGTTAAACGAAGACACGTATGATGGAAGCTGACAGGACCTCCGCTTTGAAGTGACAGCTACCGCCATCAGGCTGCTAAAGCGTGTCAGCTAATAGGTGCAGCGAGAGGGTGACAGGTACAGTCAGGAGAGGGTCGCTGCCTCAGACAACAGCTGAAGTGTTAGTCTTTAGTTAGAAGGATTCATCCAGTTCATGAAAGCTGACGTTTCCAGCTTTCAGAACTGCTGTTCAGTATTTGCTTTAATGGCGTGCGCATGCTAGCTTCACTTTCAGCATTTCTGCAGACTCGTTTTGTGTCTTTTGAAATCGATTTGCTTCTTTCATGATATTTCCAAGTAGAGTTTCTGCATTACCTCAAACTTCTTCAGTGTGTTACTGTAAAGGAGCTTCAAGGCTGAGATTTTGCCAGTTCCCAACAGTGAATGTCAGCAAATTGCAACAATTTCGCTTTACTCTTAGATTTTAAGGCTTTTCTGTGTCTGTTAAATAAAAAGCTTTTACACATTCTGCTATATTTTATTTGGTATTGGTTCTGAAGTTAGCCTCAGGGGAAAATACTGTACTGTGCAAAAGTCTTGCATTTCCTTTTTTTTTGCTTCCAAGGAGCCGGACGTTGTTGTATTTTTTTAGTGCTCTCCAGCAGGAGATCTACAGACTTTCTGAAGGTGTTTCCAAAATATTATGTGGACACTGTTTGTTTGTTTTTTGCCTATTAGTCATTTAAGCATTAAAAAGCCACTTAAGTCAAGGAAAGATAGTATTGAGTTCACACAGACGGCAAAGAACCAACTTTAAAACAGCTATTTAGGCACATTGTTGCTAACAGCCTGATGCTTAAACACACGATTCGTTAGTTTTTTTGCTAAAGAAAATAATCCAGCTTCATGAGAATGAAATTGCATTTTGTCATTAGCTGAAATGCATCAGCACGGTGTGCAATGTGCCCTTAAAATGCCCATTTTTCTAGCAAAATATAAAGAAATGAGGAGTGGCTCAAACCTCTTGCACAGTCCTGTACATAAAACATTCAGTGGTCATTAATACATTTAAAAAGACAATTTTTAAATTGATTAATTATCATCTTTGATCTTTATATCTGGGTTTTATTGAAAAAGCGTAACTTTTACGTATTTATATTAAGGTTCAGAGATAAACGTTCACATACATCGAGTGAAGTTGCAAACAATTTGCAATTTGAAGTCCTTTCTTGAGCTTTTCTGGGTATTTTTGCAACAATCAATAATTTTACAAGAATCCAAATGTAACCTATGTGATTGTTTTCCAGACAGAGACACACTTATTCGCTGGTTTTAGCTCAGTGAGAGTCTGTGCAGACATAACCGAGACGAGTTACAGCGGTTCTCAGAAGACATGTTAGGACTGCGAGCTGGTCCAAGTTTAACTCGTTCAGGTTGTGTGAAGCTGAACGATCCAGAAATGTTCTCCCCTTTTTAACGACACTAGACTTTTTTTTTGATCTCACAAAGCCATTTTCGCTGCACTGTCGCTCTCTGTCGCTCTCTATTGCTGGGACTCAGGTTACAATCATCAGTTCAATCACCAGTCCTCCTGCCACCACACTTTCTAAAGGAGAAACACCTCTTGGCACATCATTGTCACTTAAAAAGACAAGCTTGCAACAAAATGTTCTTCATGGGTCTGAATTGCAGTCTCCTGAAAATTCGGATCAGTTATGATGTTAAAAGTGAGAACTTCAAAGATAAACCACACATTTTAGGTTTGAGAACTGGAAAGGATTCAATAGCAGATTCAACATCCAATAATAGAACATAAGACTAAAGACACGATAAAGAAGCATCACTCATCACGTCCCGCAGCCCCGATCTTCTCTAAACATTACCCAGCAGAGCTGTGTGTCAGAAACCGAATGTCCAAATGAGTCACGTTGGACATTAAGCACACGTCACCCTCCCAGCTCCCTCGTGCAAATAGAGCAGGTAATTATCTGGATAACTCACAGTCAGAAAGTGGGTGACATGCGACTCATCGCCATAAGCAAATTCAGTATTTCCAGTAGTAATAAAACATCTGATACAAGGATCATCTGCTGCGTGACACAGCTGAGAAAGGTCCATTTCAACCTGATTCTCCAGGAATTCACATGTGAAAACAATTAATCGCATGTTTATAACCAAAGATAAGATTCTATCACACGTTAACTCAACAAAAGAAGGAAAAACAAACAAACTTCAGACTGTGAACCTTTCACTTACCTTCCCGACTGCTGAAAAGTGTTAACCCCTGGCTAGACTCTCACTTATAAGCATCGAAGCAGCCCTGTGAACGTCTGACATCCTCACCTGTGCGTAGAGGTCATACAAATAAAGCCGACCAGTGTATTCATTCAGAGCTGCTGTCAAACAGCCACCAGCAGAAATGCAAGGGCTCTGAGAACCACCTCACATAGAATAAATAAAATATTACAACTCTGACTGAGCTGTGATTATCGGCCAAGGGCACTCCACTGATCCGTGTGTGTGTGAAGTGTGAGCAACTTCTCTTATCAGGTGTGAGCAGAAAACAGGTTGTGTGGCTGGAGAATAGAAGATTTAGAGAACATACCGTAGGACATAGGGATGTCCAGATCGCCCTGCCAGGACATCTGCCCCGATTCGTCTATGGAGTGCTGCGCTATAAAAACACAACAGGCCTCTTGTTTACGGCTCATTCTTAATCTAATGCTCCTTTGATTTATTTGAATTTCAGAGGACAATAGGAGGGAAATCTACAACTGTGCCATGCTACGTTCACACCGGCTGCCTACAGAGTTGGAAAGTGTTACTTTGTCATTGGAAGTGTGGATTTAATCATAGATAAGAAATGTGTGTCTGTGTGGGAACTTTGCAAGATGTCACTTAAAGCCATTATGAATCGTAGCGTCCAGTTTCCACTGAGCTGAAACAAAAGTCACATTCTTTGACTTTTTTATTTTTTACTGCGAGGCCTGCACACGGTCATTTGGCAGAAAGAGCTCGACAGCACGGCACAGCAAGCGAAATGATTGTTATTCTGCACTTCACTGTACTGTGAAGTGAAAAACTGATAATGAGGATGGACTACCTTTCAAGTGGCCACGTCCAAGTGTGACAAACCCAGAGGAGATGAAGTTGTGCATGTCTTGGCCTCCGCTGCGCAGGTTCTCTTTTCCGTAATGTCCTGGTGAGACAAAGATTGTGGAAAATTAATATTTCGGCAACAAATTTGAGAGTTTAAAGGACGTGCTGTGTGCTGAGCCTCACGTTGAGACGCGGGCTTCGTGATGCAGACTCAGATAAGCTGACGTCACCTGTTTCACAACACAAAAGGCAGTTGCATCATCATGTTAAGACTGACAACTGCTAAATGAATCCTTCCCTGCTGTTACTGATCTCTTCATATGTTTGATCCTCTACTGGTGAATATCTTAGTGTTCTGCAGACCTAAGGAAGATACACAAAGTGTCTGACATATTTCACATTCAGTTATTTTCCAAGTTTGTCGTCACTGATATCCTGGATTTTCCAAAGATTATGAAGAGTTGCATGAAAAGTAAAGGAAAAAATGGATTATTGTGCACTTCTTAGGCCAGCTGGCATTCAAAACATTCATATTGTGACAATGGTGACTTTTTAGTATTCATAGCTGCAAGTGTGCTGTGAAGTCTCATTCATTTTTCCTCTAAATAACATTATGAGACTCACAAGTTGAAAACCTTGGCCAACAGAAATCCTGCAGATTACATCGATGCAAAAACGGAACCAAACAAATGGTAAAATATATGAAATCTTTCTAATATTTGTACATGCACGTGAACTAAAAGACCGTACTTTAGTTTAAAATGTCATTTAATTTTGAGAGCCATCTGAAAATCTACAAAAAAAAAAAAAAAAATCCCAAACAACTTTTGAATTCTGGTTCTGTTTTGTGAGCAACAATGACAGCCGAGTCTCACTGACATCACATTTATGTGAACCGATTTCGAGCCAAACTTTTAGAT